TCCTATGAATTGTTCCCATCCGGATGCCGGATCAATGAGAGAGTGTGGTATCAGATTAGCCATACTGATATACCATGTATAGGGAAGCAGGAGATAAGTTAGAACGGCTGTTTACGGATTTATTGGAAAAAAAAGAAATGGACTTCAAATTCTATTTTTAAATGTCCGTTTTATTTATAGGTTGATACAAAAAAAAATTGTATTATTTATAAAGTCTTACTAACAAATATCACGCCACTGGGCAATTTGCACAGCCCATTTAACCCTAAATGATTAATATACGGCGAACATACTTTCCCGTTTCCTTTACGCAAATTTCAATATCCCATAAAGCGGGGAAACATTGTAAATCATTTACTTTCGAACCACTCGTAGACCTTCACACTTCAAACATAACGAATGTGACATAGGAATTATGATAACACTTGGTTTGGGGGATGTAATCATAGAATCGAGATCTCCGGTGAGTAAAACATCTCCATCCGTGGGATGCGACAATCGGTATATGCTTGACGGACGGACGGTCGATAAAAATAAAATTTGGAAATAATCCGTTTTAGGAAATTTTCGAAATGTTCACAAACCAATTGGTAAAACTTGTGTAACATATTTCGAATTTCGGCGTTACCGTATACAATACTGTACGATAAATTAATACGATATCTAATTTTTTTTTTTTTTTAAACAATTAAAAATCACTTATCAGTACATATACCGTTTGGTGCAGGATAAATTAAATTCATAATTTTTTATTTATGATTCATATAAATAAATACTTTAGAATATACAAAAACATAAATCACCATATACTGTATATAGTAAATATAATTGTATACTGTATTTATAATATATTGAATAAAATATCTTTAAATTATAATTAAAAAGGAAACACCTGATTAATTTCAAAATAATAACAATAACAATAATAGTAATTACTGTAGTTATGAAATTTTTTATAATGAAAATATTAATTGATTAATTAATTAATTATTGTATATGGAAATTAATAAAACTTGAAAATAATTTTTGATAATTTTTTTTAATAAATTTTTTTAAAAAATTTATATATTGTATATAAATCAAAAATAAATAACTTATTGAAAATTTTGAATATTAAAATAAATAATTTTATAATTATAAATTATTGATTAAATATAATAAACAATGGAATTAAATTTATTCTTAAGAAAAGAATTGTTAGAATTCTTAGTTGAAATTAGAGTCTCATTTTCAATTCAACAATATTAATACTTCTTTATCTCTTCTTTGTTATTGTCAAATATAAAAATAAAAAATAAAATATTTTATTTTTATAATAAATTAATATTATAATATCTTCTAATTACTACTTCAAATAATATTTTATAATTATATATCAATTCTATTCTTTTATTGTTATGGTTTGTTTTATTTATTTATTTAAAGCCATTAAAATCCAATTAATAATTCAAATTCAAAAATTTAATAAGCAAAAATACCAATAAAAAAAATTGAATACTATTATTAAAAAATTTTAAATTTATAAAAAAGATCTTATTTTAAAATCTTTGAATATAAAAAACTATAATATAATTATTAATATAAATAGAAAAAAAAATCTACTGTTTTTTTTAAACTTATTAATAAATACTATTATATTTTTAATAAATTTTCAAATTTTTTATTATCAAAACTATTTTAATAAACTTATTAATCTTTTGCTAGACATTAATTAATAATCAAAAAATAAAATTAAATAAAAATCATACTTAACCATTTTTATTAAAATAAAAATAAAAGACAAAGATTTTTTAAATTTAACAGAACTATAGAACTTTACAATAATATTTGTAATTTTTTAAAAAAAGTTTTTTAAAAAATTAAAAATTGTATTATTATTTAATAAATATTAATATAAAAATATAATATAATATATATCTTTTAATATTTATAAGTAATCTTAATTAAAATATTTTTACTATATATTATTTAATATTATTATTTAAATAATATTTTTTTTAAATATTATATTTCAAAAAATAATTTATTTTTGTTTTATAATATTTTGTGAAAAATACTAAAGAAAAAAAAAACTTTAAATTTTATTATAAATATAATAAAAATATATAATACAATTAACTTAACAATGCTTAAAAAAGCCTTATTAAGAATAAAGTTTTTATTCAAAATTATCAAATTAATATTAGAACTAAAGATAAATCCTTAAATTATTTAATATATAAAATTTTACAAATTAATTATGTTCCTTTTGAAGGGATATAATTATTTATTTATTATTTTAATAGAAATATAATTCAAAAAACATTTAAATTAGATGGTTTAAATTACAAAAAACCTTTATAAATAGTTGTTTTTAATTTTTATATTAAAAAAAAAACTTTTTTAATAATAAAGAACATTTGAATTATATCCTTGCCTTTAGTTTAGGGATCTATCTTTAGTAAAAATATAAATATATATTTTATAAAGCAAAAAAAAAAATATTAAATTATATTTAAATATATAAAGAAATAAAAATAAAAAAAAAAATATATAATTAGTCTTATAAGAAAAAATCTTAAAGAAATAGATCCTTAAATACTTCAGTTTCAAAATATCAAATTAAAAAAAAATTATTTAACTTTAAATTAATTAATCTAAGTATAGGTCTATAGAAGAAAAAAAAAGTTATAAAATAAAAAATAGATTTAAAAATTATTAAGATTTCTTATATTCAAGTTTATAGACTACTGTTTAAAATATTTAAAGTATAATACAAGCTTATAAGATAACATTTATAGAACCTTATATATGAAAAGATTCAAGAAAACAAATAGTTATTAAAGTATTAATTCAAAAAAAAAAAAAAAAAAGACAGACCCAAGTATTTTAGCAAAGATATATGAATTCTTCAATAGAAAAAGAACTAACAAATCACAAGAAAAAAAATGGGATATTTGAAAAGTATTTTTCATCATCTTTTGTTTTTATTAAAAAAAAACTTAATCAAAATAATCTATCACAAAATATAAATAAAAAAAAATTATACTATATTATTATTAAAAATAATAATCTCAAAAATATAAAAAATTCAAATGAAAATATTTTATATTAATTAATAATATTTTTTAAATATTAAAAATTTTTATAAAAAGATTTTGGTTCAAATATTATCAAAAAATTATATTAAAGCAAATTATTTTTAAGAATATAAAAAATTAAATAAAAGTTGACCTATGGATTTATAGTATAGTAATAGTGCTTTATAGGTTATCAAGAGCAGATCTAGGGTTTAAATCCATTTGGTTACAAAAATATATTACAAAAAGTCAATTAAACTGTATGAAGATAGGATTTCTGACCTTTTCAGTAATTATGAGATTGCAATAGATTATAAAAAAAAAAAGATTGTATAAAAAAAGGCTTCTGATCTAATTTTAGTTAAACTCCATAGTCACGTCATATAAATAACAATATATTTGATACTATAGATTGGGCTGCGTACCATTTTATCCAATCTTACTTGACTTATATGTTAGAAAGAAAAAGATTAACTCCAAAGAGATCATCAATGTGATCACTAATATATAGGAATATCATAGCTGAGAAATACTATATGTACTATATAGAAGTTATATCCTGCTTGATATTTATATTTCTAGATTTGGTAGCTTAAGCCAACTAAATTCTCTTGGAGTATTTACTAGAAGATAAAAGAAGTCATGCTCCACTTGATCATTTGATCCCTAGATTTAATAGCTTGTATCAATCAAGAATTATAGTTTTAGAATATTTATTAGGAAGTATATAGATATATCTTATTCCTCTCTGATCCCTTTTTGAAAGATAATTAAAAATGTGATATAAAAAAGATAATCTATAAAATACTAACATGATTCCTAATTTCAAAAACAGTCACTATTCCTTAAATAGTTGGATCAATAGGTTAGATAGTTTAAACTAGTGGTAGAACTTTCACCTTCTAAATAAATCTCCTTCAAAAATATGAATACACTTTGAAGGAGTGTTAGTAATATCACTAGGGCAATAAAAGTAGGATAGATTAGTATTTAGCTATAGTCTAGTATTACAGATGATATTTGATATAATTGTGATATTATATATACTGTATATCAATAAATAATTGGTATCTAATACCTATTCTACTATAAAAAAAAAAATCCAATAAAAGTTATAAAAATATTATAAGATATGAATTTAAAATAAAAACCCGTTTTTTATAATAATTATTAAAAAATATATATTAAAAAGCAAAAAAAAAAACTGTTAAAATTATGTTACTATATAATTTATCAAATAAATATCAATATAATTATTTATTTTTGATAGGCATTAAAATGTAAGGCTTTATTGAAACTTTATTTGCTGTTATTACATTATAATATCAATGCAATTTTTTATTAAATTATATAAAAATTATTGGTATAAAGATTTTTTCAGATTAATTATTAGTTTATTTTAGAAAATAAAGTTAAAAATTAATATAAATAAAAAATACCACATTTTATTATTAAAATTCATACTGTATCAAAAAAAAAAAGCAATTTATTTTTAAACATACTATGCAGATTTTACAACATTAATATATAACACGTGTTGCATATAACCTATATACAATATTAAGTTCCTTTAACAAAACTTAATCATATATCCCCTATCTGACTCAAATGGATCTTGTTTTTCTTCGAGTTACGAATTCTAGGTCACGAAGTACGTATAAAATTAATAGCTATAATCATTTTTGAGTTTCTTTTTCAGGTATCTTTTTGTTCATACAGATGCCAGTAGAGATGCGTTCCCTTCTCAACGATCAAATTTGTAGTTAAAAAACAGATTGATAACCATTTAATTCCAGTGCATAATATTTTCTAGTATTGATGATTCAAAAGGGGGGTAAATATAAATAAAAAGATTCTTTTATTATTTCAGTATACAAAATATGTGACTACAGGAATAGATAATAAAATATTACTGTATCTAACGAGCATAAATTATATCTATCAAATCATTCTGTCGATGATATCCTGAAGTATATCCTCGGCATCTTGTTCGCCATTATCGCGAGCTTTTGTCAACCAATGGAACATTTTTAAGATATCTTTTTGCGTTCCATACCCATTCTTGTAACATTTTCCAACTTGTAGTTGCCCAAAAGAATAATCATTTTCGGCAGACTTCAAATACCATTCAAACGCCTTTTCTTCGTCTTTCATAACGCCGATTCCGTTATAATAGCAGTACCCAACATCACATTGTGCAATATCATAACCTTGTTCCCCAAGTTTCAAATACCATGCAAATGTTTCCTTCTCATCTTTTCCAACACCCTTACCGACTTCATAACAATAGCCCGTAACATATGCTGCTTCGATATTTCCTGCTTCGGCTGCTTTCAGAAACATTTGAAATCCTTTGGCCTCATCAAGGTCAGCGCCGATTCCATCTTGGTAGTAATACCCAAGGTTGCATTGACCAACAAGGTTTCCATTCTCGGCTGATTTAGAATTCCATTCAAATGCTTTCGATTCATCCTTCTCCTTGACTCCTTGTCCGCTATAATAACAATGGCCAACACATGCTTGTGCCCAGCTTGAGCCATTTTCTGCAGCATTTATAAATATTTGAAATGCTTTCTTCTCATCCTTTTTCAAACCCAAGCCGTTGTAATACAGTAAACCGAGAGAAATCTGACCAATGGTTTGATTTTCTTTTTTAAATAGCTCAAGTGTCGAAAATGATTCTGATTCTTCGAGTATGTCGTAATCCTCATCGTTGACCGCCATCGAATACATCTCAAATGCCATCTCGTAATCAACTAAAGTGCCTATTCCGTGGCGATAGAAAAATCCCACTAAACTAGTAAAGTAAGAAAAATTTGGATGTTGAAGAACTTGCGCGAATACTTTCGTGGGATTTTTTTTGTCTCCTTCCATATATTTTTTAACCTTAAGAGCAACATGCTTAGAATGATGTTGCATATTGAATTGGTCGACGTAAAATTGAAATAATCCCTTTATGTAATGATCTATCTCAGCGAATGTCTCAACGGGAGGCAAATCAATTTGAATGTCTGTGCTAAATTGTGACGTCGAATCTGCATCTTCAGTAGACTCCACATTGTCAATACAATCGGCAGGTTTATAAGATTCGCCAAATTCAGCATTACTATCTGATATAGGTATCTCAACTTCAACTTCTTTAGATTTGCTGAAATAAACAAATGAACAAAATAATAAACATAATATCTTATATCTTTCAAGGTAAATGGTTTTGGAAAAGTTCCTTACCTGGATTCTTCTTCTTTTACCAGATCGTCTAATGAACACATTAATATTTCATAGTTGCTCACTACATCATCTATGTCGATATCATTAAGTGCCGAGTGAACTTGTTCAATAGTCGGACGTTTCGCGTCATCATAATGCCAACATTCTGAAGATGGTCAAATTTTTTTTAAAAAATTAATCACTATTCCAACAACAAATTAATTTTACTCACAATGCTTAACAATACCTCTATAGATTTTAACGTATCCACGTGGAGTTCCAGGCTCAACTGTTTCTCGTCTGCCTTTTACAATTTCTTTTATCAAGTCGTTATTATCCATTTCTTCAGACTCGAATGGCACCCTTCCACTAGAAATTTCCCACAAAAGTACACCCAAACTATATATATCCGAACTCTTTTTATGCCCAATTGATAAAAGAATTTCCAAGACCTGAGGATCCATGTATTGAAAGGAACCCAGGGATTTTACAAGTAGATTTGAAAACTCCGCCATTCGTCTGGATATGCCGAGATCGCTTATTCGGACGTGACCTCTATGAATAAGAACGTTTTGGGAATCCTGTTTGTAATTCAAATAAGAATTTACAATTGTGACCATCACGAATAACGTAAACGAATCATAAATTATTACCAAGTGTCCATGAACAATTCCATTGACATGCAGGCACATTATTGCACTGGTGATTTCATTTGCGAGTTGTAGTTTGGAGGTCCAACTCAGGTTGCTATAATTTTCCTTCAAATACTGACGCAGGGACCCTCCATCAGCATATTCAACAACCAGTAGATATTTATTTGAACTTGGATCTAATGTTAATGTCAATAAAAAAGAAATTGAAGCTTAAGAAAAAAAATAAATAAAATGTGCAAAATAATTACAATGGTTACCTTGACTGCTTATACCATGGAATCTCAATATGTTATAATTATATTCTAATTTTTCATGTTGCTTGATCTATTTAATTAAAGATTTAGTAATAAATAAATAGATAAATAAATAGATTAAGGTTCCGAACCAACCTCGTTGACTAAATCCTGAAGTTTAAACTCATCAGATAAAGGGACCGACCTAATGACCACGGTTCTCTCAGTGTTCTTTAAAATTGCTTTGAACACACTTCCACAAGAGCCATCTCCAATCTTCTCGATTTGCTCAAATTCTTTGTAGGGATAGAAAGTTATCCTTTCTTTTTGAAAAAGGTCTCTACTCGCATTGTCTATTTCACCTTCGGAAAGAACAATTTTCTCAATTCGTTCGAGCTCACTATCTTCTTGTTGGAATATATCACTTGCTTCATCTTCAACGGGAAAAGTGCGATCAGAGCTACTTGCAGAAGATTCGTCGGTCATTTTTTGAAAATTAAAGGAAAAATAGCGGACTTATAGAATATAATGTCAGCACGGTTTACGTAATACAAATTACAACACGTGATATTTAAATTGCACGTGAATATTAAAGACGTGTATTTATTGTCTTTATTTGCATGACGAATTAACAAACGCAAGGCCCTTCTATCTTGTCAGAATTTAAACATTTACATATAAAAACGAAAGAAATTTACAAGAATTATAAAAAATATTTACAAGAGAAATTCTTTTGCAAGTTTATATACAAAATTATCAAATAATGGATCATTAAAATTCCCAAGACATGAGAACTTAGTAATAATAGTAGGGAGAAGCATCACGTTTGTAGTAGTAGTAAGGAGTGGCTTCGGCATCACGTTTGTAGTAGTAGTAAGGAGTGGCTTCGGCATCACGTTTGTAGTAGTAGTAAGGAGTGGCTTCGGCATC